CAGCCTGATCTACACTACCAGCCCAGCAGACCAGAAACACACCATTTTTAGTACAGACAGCACATACCTGAGGTATTTTTCATTATACTATCTGACAACCTTTGTGCCTACCCAAGTGTTTTCATCTGGTTATTCTGAACAATAGAATTTCATGCATTGGAACCAGATGGAAATCTAACATTTCCCTTGGAGGAAGTTTAATTTCTCTGTTTCATCACTTCTTTAAAGTTCATCTGATCATTTACCACTCTTCACATCACTTCCATACTAAATTTATGCCATGTTTTCATCAGCTGCTGGTTTGAAAAAAAGCAGTTAAACCTTAAATTGCTTGTCAGAAGATGTTCAGCATCAAGATGCAAATCCTCTATGGGTTTCATTTACAGCACTTGAAGCCTGACAGGGACCTGCTTGCTCCCTATTGCCCTACAAGGATTTTTCTGCCACTTACCTTAGGAGAAAGCCCTTGGTTAGCCTCTTAGAACACTGCAGAAGGAGCATGCAGCGCTGGTGGTTGTATCTGAGACCTTCCTTGACAGCACTGGGGCATCCAAGAGTCCCAGAGTCAGCGCACGGCCGTGGACACTGAGCAGCCTTTTGGGTTCTGTGCAGCTGGATGCCAAGATCACTCTGTTTAAACTGTCCATGCACAGTTTGAAAATCATCAGATGATAGGATGGTGCCTCTAGCCAAAATTATCATGCAATTATTTCAGTCCATGGCATCTAACCAAGCCATTCCCCCCAAGGCTCAATCTCTGCTGCGACGGTTTGTAACGTCGCCGTGCCTCGTTTTGGTGGGTTCTGCTAACTTTGCACCCCCACCCAGCTCCCAAACACGATTTTCCTTCCGAAAATGGTTAAATAGCAGCCTTTGCATGGCAATAGAATCTTACTTTTTCTTTACATTCCATTAGTTTCGCTTCAAATCGATGCTGGGGGATCAATCGGTCACGTCCGATTTCACCCTCTGCTGCCTGCTGAGTTAATTTAGGATGTTAGGCTGAGTCTTTCTGCAAATAGAGGCCACAGGGACTGAGACTCAAGGCTTCAGCTGGAAACACAGGCTTTCAGCACAGCAACCCGTCGTTAGCTGGGTTAAAAAGCCACCCCAAGTCCATTCAGGACTGATCCCTGTGAGGGATGAGGCTTAAAAAAGGAAGGCAAGCTGCCAAAATGGGCATTGCATGAGAAATCAGCACCACCAGAGCTGAGGTTCTGGTCCTAAGAGCTTCTGCTGCCTCGTCCTACCCAGGCCTAAGGTTTATGAGAATCCTAAATACCAAGTTTTTCCTCTCTGGCTCTGGAACTTCTGGACCTGGGCTGAGCCACAGGAGTGTGGGCAGCAGGGCAAGGGAGGTGATTCTGCCCCTCTGCTCTGCTCTGGGAGACCCACCTGGAATCCTGCACACAGCTCTGGGGCCTCAGCCTGAGAAGGACATGGAAGTGTTGGAGCAAGTGCAGAGGAGGCCACAGAGCTGCTCAGAGCACTGGAGCATCTCCCTGTGAGCACAGGCTGAGGGAGTTGGGGCTGTTGAGCCTGGAGAAGAGAAGGTTGTGTGGAGAGCTCAGAGCACCTTGCAGGAGCTGAAGGGGCTCCAGGGAAGCTGCAGAGGGATCTGTGTTAGGAGCTGCAGGGACAGCACAAGGGGCAATGGGCACAAATTGAAGGAGGGAAATTGAGGTTAGATGTTAGGCAGAAGTTTTGCCTGTTCTGGTGGTGAGACCCTGTCCCAGGGTGCCCAGGGAGGCTGTGGCTGCCCCAACCCTGGCAGTGTTCACAGCCAGGTTGGATGAGCCTTGAGCAACCTGCTCTGGTGGGAGGTGTCCCTGCTCAGGGCAGGGCTTGGGGCTGGATGGTCTCTAAGCTCCATGCCAACCCCTAAAATTCTATGATTCTATGACCTTTTCTTCCATCTTATAAAATATTTGACTGATTTTCATTTCAGATTCTTGTCCCAAAAATTCAGATGAGATTCAGACTAAGTGCTAGGAAAAATATTTTCCCTGTTGTGGTGTTGAGGCCCTGGGATATTGCCCAGGGAGGTGGTGCAGTCACCATCCCTGGAGGTGTTTCAGAGGTGTCTGATGTGGCACTGGAGGATCTGGGTTAGGGTTTAGGGGTTCCAGCAGTGACAGGTTCATGGTTGGACTGGATGACCTTAGGATCTCCTCCAACCTGGATGATTCTCTGATTCTCTGATTTCACTATTGCACATCTCCATAAACTCTCCTCTCTGAATTTCAGGCCCAGTAGGACCTTTTAGACTGAATCCTGTAAAACTATGTGTGTTGGATAGAAGTAACTCTTCCCTAGCATGTTGGAACAAGACTCACCAGCTATACTCTTCCACTGAAAGGCCTTGGATACAAAAAGGTCTTTCTCCTTCATAATATTCCACCCAACTCAATGTTTCTAGAACAAAAGACTCAAGTTGTAGGCCCTAATTCCTAAGTGGCTTAAAGATTTGATGTAGCTTGTGAACTTGTCCAATTCCCAGTCACAACCACCAAGAAACCAGCAGTATTCAGAGCAGCAACACAGCAGAGCAGCAGCTTAAGACTTTCATGTTTATTGGCCAGAACATCAACATAGCTACTCATTTACACAACCCAACAGAAGTCAACTTTAATGCTGCTTCACAGCATTTGGAGCTGTCAAGATATGAGCCAACACTTCTAGAAAATCCTTCCATTTACCTGAGGTTTCACAAAGAAACTGTGGATTTACATACAGTACATTTTGCATATAATGTATCAAAACTCTTGTTGGGAGAAATAAATTACAAATAATGGTACAAAAACCACTCCAACCTTTGTTCAACAAAAACATGTGGTGTGTGAGTTTTACAGTTTTTTTTTTTTGTTTTGTTTTGCAGTAAGCAAACTATTTAGTTTTATACAAAATAAACCTGTAGTTTTATATAGTTTTAAAAAAATCATCTTTGGCTAAACAAAGCTCTATTTTTAAATACAGATATTTATATTTGTACAAACATCAGATATCTTACATGACCATGTAGGAACCTGTACAGGTAGTTACAAGAGAGAGAACATTAAAAAAAAAGTTACACTTTACAAAACAAAGGAATCCAAGTCAGATTCAAAAGAGACAAACCCCAACCCAACCCCATCACCTACACAGGTAGGAAAGGAAATAAACACAGATAAGAGACAACTTTGTAATAAAATGCTGCCTGCTCTGTTGAGACAGAGAGGAAGAACTTGAGTGGGAGAAGTGACTTCCCCCAGTGCCTTCAGTGCTGTGCATGTGTTGATCCCTAAGGATATGGTCAAAGCAATCTGACTCCTCCACAAACATGAACACTACTCTGAAAACTGCTTGTTTGCAAAACAGATTCAGCTAGGCTTAAATCTCCAAGCAGTCCAGAGTTATCACAAATGTTTAAGAAGCAGCAGAGGGAGGTAAAGGAACCCCCAGTGAAATCATCAGGCACTGCCAGTGTAGCGTGGAAGGTGAGATTTGCTCATCAGAGCTAACCTTTAGAAGCAAAGGGGTAAGGTGGAAGATGCCAGAACTGACATCATCATCTCCTCAAGCCATTCCTTGCAACAGCCTCCAGAGCACTGCCACAAAACAAGGACTGTGGCAGCAGGACAAAAGCCACTCCATCAGTCACCTTTGCAACACCCCAACGTGGTCAGTGGCAGCATCATGACAAATTGATGGTTTAGTAAAAAGAAAAATCTGTCCCACTAGCAGGAGAGGGAGCAAAATAAAAAACCATGCTGACACTAAAGAAATGGTCACTGGACTCTGAAAAAGAGTCAATCCAAGCCAAGGTGAAAGGCAATGCACTGTGGGGCCTTCAATGGAGTCTGACTCAACTCAGCAGATACTCTAACTGAGTAAAAGCTACAGCAAATCCAACCCTCCAGAAAGAATAAAACCCCTCAGAACTCTCTGAAACCATAAAACAAAAACCTGTGCAACCTCCAGGAATGTTTCTTAGGGTGAAGAAGAAAGTGGCTTTCTAGAAATCTGGGATAAAACAGCAATATATATATTGTGAGTGTGTACATATATATACATACACACAAAGTATGTTCTAGTGAAACTGGAAACAGTTCTAAGAACTCCCTTAAAATAGAACATAATGAATTTCTAATGCACTAAACAATTTGCAAAGACAGATAAAATTGCTGTCAAAACATGCCAAGTTGACAAGCTTTTCAAACTGCTTGTTTTTACAGAAAAGTTTTGCTCCTGGCTAAGTCACGTTTTATACAACTGTAAAGGTTTGTTTCTAAATTGATTTTAAAAAGAAAATCACTTCTCAATCTTTTTTTCAACAAAACAGAATGTTCATTATGGTGAAGACCTACATTAAGTACCTTTCCCAGCTCCAGTTTGGAGCCAGGAGAACATAATGGTCTTTGCAGAGTAGCATTAATGGAGAGCAATATTTACACTGCTCTGCAAACTGCCCTGAAAACAGATTTAAGCCTCCAGTAAGTAAACAACTGTCACAAATGTTTGTTAAGAACAAGCAGCAAGATCCACCTATTCCTGGACAAGCAGCTTTTGGAATCATTGCCCTTCCTTAAAGGTCTTACTTAAGATATATTCCTAGGTAACCAAGATGATGTAGGTGATATTCTCCAGGATTACCTACCAGCAAGATTCCAAAGCACTCTTACACAGCTCGACATCACCACATCCAACACCTGAAGCAAGAGCCACCACCCTCACTTGTCTTGGCTACAAAACACATTTAGCAGGAGGTGTCACCCCCTTGACATGGCACTGCTCCATTTCTCCCAGTCCATTCCTTCCCTGCCACCTTGTCTGTGAAGTTCCCTCTGTTCAAGCACTTCAGAGGAAACACAGACAAGTAATTACCAGTGCCTCAGGTTTAGCAAACTTAGCATCCTGACTTGGGTATCCCTCAGGAGTCCCAGCAGAGCAATGCAGTGGTTGGAGCCCATGGCTGCAGGTAACAGCTCAACTCTGTAACCTTGGAGCAACTTGGTGTGAGTTTACTTGCACTTGGACTTCTTGAACAGCTTCATTAACTGCTTGAATCTTTCTGAAACCTAAAGGAGGATGACAAAAACAAGACAAATTATTAAGGTCCAGATTTCCAAACAGAGTCACAGAACCATAAAGGATGGAGAGACCTCTGAGATAATTGAGTCCAGTCATGAACCTGTCACTGCTGGAACCCCTAAACCCTAACCCAGATCCCTCCAGTGCCACATCAGACACCTCTGAAACACCTCCAGGATGGTGACTGCACCACCTCCCTGGGCAATATTCCCTGTTTGATTGGTACCTTGTAACTGCTTCACTCATAACAAAGGACAACAGAATTGTTGTGTTGTTGGATCAGCACTTAGGCAATTTAGAGAGACAAAAATCATTGGCACACGTTGAATGAATTAGAAAAGGGTTAAAATTAGAGCTGCAGAAAAACTATCAGAAAGGACTTTTTTTATGAAGATGTTTCTGGACCTGGTGTTGGTAGAAATGGTTTTAGGGTTTAGGGGTTCCAGCAGTGACAGGCTCATGGTTGGACTGGATGATCTTACAGTTCTCCTCCAACCTTGACGGTTCAATGTTCTCTATATTTTTAAGAAGCAACAACTGGGAGAATCTAAGCTCCTTTTTTTTTTTCCCTCCATGAACCTCCCAACAAAAGACATGAAGAAAAGACAACTCCAAATTTGCAGAAGATCTCCACAAAGAATTCTGTTCAACTGCAGCTGTAAACACAGGAACACATTGCTGTTATAAGAATGCTATCACCTACCTGATTTGGGCTTTTGTTCAGCTTAGTGGCTAAGGAGACAAATGTTTTGCTTGATGGTCCTTTTCTCTGACATTCCAGGAGAATTTCTCGGTCATCATTTCTAGAGCAAAAAGGCATTTGTCAAACATTACTACCTGCACATGTGTACATGCACACAAACAAAACCACACACACAGCCATGCATAAAATTCTGAGTATTTCCAAACCCCAGAACAGGAGTTCAAACATGGAATTTATGGAGGATCCTCTCCTCTACCAGCACAGTCAGTACAAGCAAGTGGGAGTGGAGAGGATGTTCCCTAACAGGAAGAGCAGAATTATTACAACCAAGTCAGCCCCAAACCACAGTTTTAAGCTTCCAAAGCAGACACTGAAACTTGAGCTGAATGGAGCTCAAAAATTCAACTGGGGAAGAGCTGAAGGAGTTGGGTTGGTCAGCCTGGAGAAGAGGCTCAGGGGTGACCTCCTGGCTCTCTGCAACTCCTGCCAGGGCTGGAGAGAGGTGTGGGATGTGTGTCCTGCCAGGGCTGAGGGAGAGGAGAGAGGGAATGGCCTTGAGCTGAGCCAGGGCAGAGTCAGATTGGGTGTGAGGAGAAATGTTTTGCCTGTTGTGGTGTTGAGGCCCTGGGATATTGCCCAGGGAGGTGGTGCAGTCACCATCCCTGGAGGTGTTTCAGAGGTGTCTGATGTGGCACTGGAGGATCTGGGTTAGGGTTTGGGGGTTCCAGCAGTGATAGGTTCATGGTTGGACTCAATGATCTTAGAGGTCTCCCCCAACCTTGATGGTTCTGTGATTCTTAAAGTGTCACTGATTAGCTGTTTGTCTCATTAATGAGCTTAGGCACATGCCAAATGTAGATAAACACGGACATTATAGAGCAGCTACTAAATATCTTTGGTTGAAACCTGTCAGATTCAAACAGATTATATTTATTTCCTCCATTTCAATGAAAAAAATGTAATGACTAGTTATTTATATAAACGTCTTGGGATTTTTTTTTAAGATATAGTTCAGCAAAGGACAAAAACTCAGTGGGGGAAATCTTTAGCTGCTCTCCTTTACCAGTCACTGATGCTTCCAGCCCTTGTAGGAGCTGTCCCCTACCAAGCCTGGCTGGGATTTTTTGGCAGAAAAAGAAATGGGCAATGAAAATAAAAAGTACAAATATGCATTACAGTGGGTCTGGTTACCTTGGCATATGAGGTTTAAGAAAGAAGACAAAGAGACCTCTTACTTTGGGAGATCTGGGTAAGTGATGGACATCAGCTCAGAGCCATCCTGCAGAGACAGCAGGTGCCCACTCCACTACTGAGAGGGGGATGGAGAGTGACTGAATAACTTCAGCCATCAGCTGAATATCCTACTTCTTCCCTCTTTTCAGTGTATCACATAGTTTAAAAAAAAACAACCCTACAACAATCAAACAGATAAATCAGAAATTACCTTGTCCAGGAAACTACTACTTCTCCCTTCTTTTTAATGATGTTTTTGGCATACAGACTAGGTGATGATGGAGATGAAGCCAAAGGAGAAGAGTCTTTGTTTTGCTGCAGCTCATTGTTGTTACTGGAACAGTGTTTGGGTGAATTTCTATCTTCACACCTCTCATCACTCCCTTCACTTGCTGATTCAGTTTCTTTCTGTTGTCTTTTTGAGTTGAAGTTCTCTTTTACAACCTCCTTTTTCCTCTTCTTACTGGTTTTATCATCTGTACTTATCTGGCATCCTCCATCTGCCTTTGAAGTGGGTTTGGTTTCAAGATGACATTCACCTGCTCCAGCCCCACTGGAAAGCTCTTCTGTTAAGTCCACAGATGCATCCGAGCACTCCTCCAGTTCTTCCTTTTTATCACTGACTTCTGAGCTCCCTGCAGGAGTTTCCTGAGTCCCATTATCTGCCCTGGATTCCACTGCACAACATGAAGCTCCACTAACAATACCAGCTGTTAAGTCTGTGTAGGACTTTATACTGCATCCAGCAGGAAAAGTAGTTTGAGCCCTAACACCCGTTTCATCCACGTTCTCATTGACTTCCAGCCTGTGTGCCTCAGGCTGCTCAGAGCCTTTATCCAGGCTCTCAGTGTCACAGCTCTCTGTGCTTGAAGATTCTCTATAAGGCCCAAGCAGCTCGGTAATTTCTTCCTTTCCAATGTTCTTCTGTGCCTCCTTCAGAGGCTGAGGCAAGGCAGGATTTTCATCTTGCTCAGCGTTGACATCAGGCAACTGAGCCACCTCAAGCAGATCTGGTTTGATGGTTCTTTGCACTGTGGGGGTTGGGGCACTCTGCTTGTGCCTTTCCTTCCCCTCACTCATTTCTTCCTTCCCCACCTTGGCTGAGGATGGCCATGCCTCCTTGCCTGCAGCCACACGATCCGACGCCGACGTAGACGGCACCGCACGCCTGATCTTCACAATGAAGTGATCGTTGGACTTCTCCATGATCACTGCTTGCATGGGCAAGCTGGGGCGACACTGAAAACCAGGAGCAACAGGACGACTTGTCCACGAGGAGGAGCAGCTGGATTTGCTGCTTGAGTTATCAGATTCCAAAGCCAAGTGAATGTCTTGCTCGGTGGCATCTTCTTCTCCGAGAAGTGCATCCTCACTGTAATGGGCACTGAGGACACCCTCAGGGGGTGAGCTGGAGGTATTCTCAGGTTTTAGGAAGCTGAGGTGAGCATCTGATTTCAAAGGTGATGGTATAGTTAAAGAAACAGCCAAATCCTCGAGGAGGATAGAAGAAACACATGACTTACTCTTGTGGGAATTGCATTCATCTTCCTTGCACGAAGGTGAGTCTGTAGGAACCTCAAACATACAACTCTCATCCAGCACATCTGGATCAACAGACATCCGAGGCCTGGATGCTAGTGAGGGAGCTCTGACAGGGGAAACAACAGACCACTTGATATCCTCCACAGGTTTGGATTCCACACAAACCTCCTTCGGAGCAATCCCCTGCCCCAGTTCGACAGCAATCCCTTTGCATTTCTGACTGTCTGGGAACTGTTTCTCTGGAGTCCTGAATTCAAACTCATTTCTGCTGCTATTGCCACCGTTTTTTTCCAAGAGATCAGAACCCTGCAATAAACTCTTGAAAATTTCACCCATCTGAGCATCGCTCACGAGATTAAATGTAAGGCTGGATGCTTGTTGTTCCGTGAGAAGCTCACAGCTAAGCTCAGACTTGCTGGCATCCCTGGAGAGCTGGAATCCTTCCTTTTCCTGTTTCACATCCTTCAGTGGAGTAAGAGTGCCCTGCAAATTATTCTCCTTAGGGAAGTGCACTTTTGTTTGGGAATTCCTGGTGTTATCAATAGAGTTAAGACATTTTGTCAAGGCAGTTTTTGGTGTGCCTGTTTTATTTCTGTCGTGGTGACACTTAGGGTGTTGATAATCCACAATTTGCTTGGAAAGGATATATTCTTCAGGCTTTTGAGAACTGCCTGTCAGAGACTTTCTCCTAGGTCTCTGCACATCATTTTTATGACTGATCCTGTGGTTTTGTTTCTCTGCCCTTTGGAGCTTCCCTTCCTCGCTCTCATTTCTCACATCGCAGAGCTGGGTGATAATTCTCCTGATCTTTTCAAACAGGTAATCAAGCTGCTCATCCACAAACTTCCACAACTGGTGCTTCATATCTGACACCTGCTGCTCAAACAGACGATCCACTACTGCATTTTTTTTCATTTGCTTGAGTTTGGACTCTATGATGTCACAGATACTCAGTTTTAAGGTATCCCCCAACGCACACATCTTGGAAAAGTTCAAGTACCTTATTAATGCTGTAAAATTTATGATCCCAGATTCTATAATCCTGTGGAAATGCTGAACTGGGAAGTGCACCTTGAACTTCATGTAGCTTTTCCTCATCTGCTTTCGTATAGCTCTTAACATCTGCATAATTTCATGGATATTTGAAGGTTCAATGATAACATGAACTATCTTCTCCAGGCAAGCAATGCTCACAGTTTTGCTTTTCTTCATATCCCTTGGAGACCTGAAAGTCTGATTTTTGTGCCTCTCTCTGTTTTTCTGTGTGCTTTCCTTCACAGGCACAAACTTCCCGTTCTCCTCACTGCAATGCACAGTTTTGCTGCTCTGATTTTGGGGACTGCAGGTCAAATTTCGTGCCTCAGAAGAAGGTTTTGGCCTTGACTTCTTTGCATTTTCAGAGTCTCTTTCTGGTTTAGATTCTTCATCTTCATCACTGCTTATGATTTCTCCTTCTTCTATCTCATCTGAAGAGATATTTAGTTGACACTCCATCTCCAGGTGTTTATCAGACATACTAATTGGCTTTTGGTTTTCTTTGTTCACCTCCTTAGACAAATTCTTCGAGGGAGAGATGACAACTGCACTTTCAGGGACTAAATCTAGAAAAAGAAAAAACAGTCTGCTAATCACCATAAGGAATGCAATCATAAACAGATATGTTCAGAAAACACCCTGGAAGATTCTCTTCTGTAAAGTGACTGCTCAGAACTGTTGGTTTGAAACTGCCAAATGCAGCTCAGGAAGTTTGAGCTCTAACAGGTTTGGGTTGTTTCCCTCAGCAGCTGCTAGTTTAAGGGAGAGTTTTTCTGAGCTTTAAAGAGTAAATTGAGCTTTGTTTTGAGCAAACTTTGGGCTTTAAAGGACCTCAACATTTCTCCAAGCTATGGGAACTATCTCACAAATACACCACCCAAAATCTAGCAGTTTCCACCAGTTTTGAGTTTCTTCCCATTTACTTTAACAGGTTTTCTGAGCACTGCACAAACTAAATCATAACTGTTACATCATTATGGACTAACATTTACACACAACAAGTGGCTTTTCTTTTAACACTTTCCCAATGAGAACAAAATGAGAATAAATGACCTATCAATGCTTTAATCACCCTGTAAAACATTCTGCTCTGAAACAGAAGAAAACAGATTTCAATGCCACTCTATCATTCCTCATTCCTCCTCTGGAAGAAATATAAACTTACAAGAAAAATGCTTTTTTCAGTTGCAGCAGGACATTACAAGGAAGATTTAAACCCTGGATCACCTATTTTCTCTTCCTGTGAGTGCTGTAATTTCATTTCATCTGTGATAGGACGAGGAGCTATGGGTATAAATTGAAAGAGGGGAAATTCAGGTTAGATAACAGAAAGAAATTTTTGCTGTTCTGGTGGTGACACCCTGTCCCAGGGTGCCCAGGGAGGCTGTGGCTGCCCCAACCCTGGCAGTGTTCACAGCCAGGTTGGATGAGCCTTGAGCAACCTGCTCTGGTGGGAGGTGTCCCTGCCCAGGGCAGGGGTTGGGGCTGGGTGAGCTCTGAGCTCCATTCCAGCCCCTGAAATTCCATGATTCTACGTTCCAACCCCTGAAATTCCATGATTCTACCTCCCAGACACCTTATTTACAAGTTAACACTCATTTCATCAATGACAAAAGCTAATGCTCTATTTGTTCTGCTACTTTGCCCAGGACTGACTCACACTGAAATTAATTCAGATGAAGAGCAGAGTCTTCTCTTAGCTGACATTCCTGGAAATTAACTCTCAAGTACTCTCTTCAGCTTTCTCACAAATACTTGAAGATGATCCTAAGCAATTTTGCCTACACAATTTCAGAGAAAAACTTAATGAGATCTACTCAAAACTAGCCACAATTAAGAAACCTATATGCATTTTTTAAAACAACTCTTACTTCAACCAGACATCTCTCAGTAGTGACCAACTCCAATTTTTATAGAATTACAGAATTTTAGGGGTTGGAATCGAGCTTAGAGCTCACCCAGCCCCAAGCCCTGCCCTGGGCAGGGACACCTCCCACCAGAGCAGGTTGCTCAAGGCTCAGCCAACCTGGCTGTGAACACTGCCAGGGTTGGGGCAGGCACAGCCTCCCTGGGCACCCTGGGACAGGGTCTCACCACCAGAACAGGGAAAAACTTTATTCTAATATTTACCCTAAATTTCCCCTCCTTCAATTTGAACCCATTGCCCCTTGTCCTGTCCCTGCAGCTCCTAACACAGAGTCCCTCCCCTTCTCCCTTGTAGACCCTTCAGACACTGATAGGGTCCCTCCCCTTCTCCCTTGTAGACCCTTTAGACACTGATAGGGTCCTATGAGGTCTCCACACAACCTTCTCTTCTCCAGGCTCAACAGCCCCAACTCCCTCAGCCTGTGCTCACAGGGAGATGCTCCAGTGCTCTGAGCAGCTCTGTGGCCTCCTCTGCACTTGCTCCAACACTTCCATGTCCTTCTTATGTTGAGGGCACCAGAACTGTGTGCAGGATTCCAGGTGGGTCTCACAGAGCAGAGACTCCACCTGGAATAGTACTCATATTGAACTGGCTACAACCTTGGCTGCAATGCTAAGTGGTTCCACTTCAAAAAAAAAAAAAAAAAGGGCCATTGAGACATCTACAGCTATTGGCTGCAATGCTAAGTGGTTCCACTTAAAAAAAAAAAAAAAGACCATTGAGACATCTACAGCTTAAGAAACAGTTTTTGAGAAAGCAGTTCAAAGAACTAATTTCTGCTTTCCATCAGGGGATCTACTAAGCTTTTATGTAGAAATGAGAATACCCAGATACAAATACCTTTGTTGTAAGTCTTCACAATGCCTTTACAGGGACTTTCCATCTTCAGTGCTCTGGCCAAAGGGCGCACTGGGCTGTTCAGGGGGCTGATTGCCTTTGGGATATACCTCAGGTGGTTGAGGTCAATGCTCAGTATTGAGCTCTCGTCATCAACAGGAACTGGGTTAGGTTCTCTCTCTTTAGTTCTGGGATACATCTCACCACTGAGAGCAGATGTTGTTGCAGTACCAATGTCAGCTAGGTCTGGCTCCAGATCACGAGCATTCTGGTCCATTAGTGGTTCATCCTCAGCAGTTAAGGTAGTTCTGTCAAGTGATTGAGATGTACTCATGCTAGTTTTGCAGATCCCTTTTTCCTCAAAGGGATCAGCCTCCCTCACTGCTTCCATCAAAGAGTCTGGTTTTGTTTTGCTAACACCATCTGCAACATCAGAGCACTCCAGGTCACCAGAACTTCTGACTTCTGAGTCATCCAAGTCAACGTTTTGAGAGCCACATTGGTCTGTGGAGCTTTGTATGTCTGTAGCTAACCATATTTCGCCTTCCTCTTTCTTCTCTGCTGACTCTGGAAGGGCTCTCACACTTTCACTGGCAGATTGTGCCACTCCTGCTGCTGGTACCTTCTCACCCACTGTCCCAGGCAAGTTTTCACACACTGCCACACTCCCTGTCACCTCCAGGGGCAGAGGTTTAGGGTGGCTCAGGCCTGTGGCTGCCACTGCTGCTCCTGAGGCTTCCAATCCAACCAGACCACAAGGCTCTTCTGTTTCTGATAAAGTTTTCACCTGCATCTCACCAGGAACCAGCACCTCTGCTGCTCCTGGCAAGGCTTGGGGCTGTATCTGACCCACTTCTGGTAAAGTTTGTGAGCTCAATCCATCAGTTGTCACTGCTGGCAACATCTCAGACTGTGCTGGTTCCACATCGCTCTGAGCTGCACTGCCCAGAGCTTGGAGTGTTGAGTTAGTTTGTGCTGTGGGACCACAGCCCACAGGGTGGGTAGAATCCAAGAGCTCTGCCTGCAGTGTGAGCTCAGTACGTGCCCCATCAGTGGCTTTTTGGGAAGGTGTTGTAAGTTCATTCTCTGCAGAGAGACATTGCTTCTTAGCAGGAGAAAGAGTTAAATTGAGCTTCTCCATAAAGCTAAGTTTTAAGTCTTTGTTTTTTGTCCCACAGTGATTAACTTTGATTTTGGGAACTTTATTGCCTTTTAAATTATTTGCCCCACTGGATGTTTTTTTCAGCTTATAGGGTTTCTCTCCCTCACTTTTTGTATTGTCTGTACCTTTCTTGAAGTCCTTTACAGACTGGTGAGAAACTTCTCTTGCAACTTTTTTTTCACTTCTAAAATGTCTATTTTCATCCTGATCCTCCCTTTTCCTTTTCCTTTTCTCTTCAGTTCTGTGTCTTTCTGACTTGGAATGTGCTGTTTCGCATTCATATCTACCACCACTTTCCTTCAGGCGTGAGTATTTATGCTCTCTGCTGTTGGCATTAGAGGGTGAGGCCCTTCCTTCTCGAGAGGGATGATCATTTGGCCCCCTGTCCCTCCTGCAGTCTGTGTGTTTTGCTTTTCTAGGCTCTTCCACACGACTTTTACGTGACTCATGAAGACTCTTTGAATGGTCACTCTTGGAGTGTGGACTGTTCCCCCTGCTAGACCTTCTTGGTTGTTCTTCCACCTTCTCAGTGGGTTTGGTTTTTTGGCCAGCATGTTTTTCACCTTTATCATATGCTTTCATGCCTTTTTGTAATCTCTCATCAGCATACAATTCATGCCTGGATGGAAATCTGTCTTTACCAGCTGTTTGCTTCTCCCAGGAGTTCCTTTCTACTCTTTTTTCCACACTTGGACTGCATTTGAGCTTCATGCTCTGAGTTTTTTGTTGCAACTCACTTTTATTAGCCCTCTCTGGAAGGGCTTTCAGCTTCTGCTGAGGACCTGAATTCCCCTCTTCACTGTCATCATCATTTCCAGGGAGTTGATGTCCCTCTCTTTTGTATTTGTCGACATTTCCCTTACTGTACTGTTCATTACTTTTCATTTCTTTCCTTTCCTTTCTGTTATCCTTGTTGGAAGCATCGTCATAGCTCAGTGGACACATTCGAGGACCATCACTGCAGACCTCCTCAGGATACCTCAGCACACATGGAGTGTTTCTTTTTTCAGAGCCAGACTTCTCCTTGTCCATACTATGAGATGAGTAACTGTGATGTGTCTCTTTTGAACAGTCATTTTTCATTCTCTGTTCCATCTTTATACTGTCACCCAACTCAGAAGGTCTTGGTACTTTTGGTTTAGCTGATCCTGGAAGGTATGTTCTGGTGAAGCTGCTTCGATGACTGGGAAATTCTGAGAGCCTGGAAAAAAAAATAAAGTTATTTTAAAATGGATTTAAACATAACTAAAGGCGCAACTACAATGGAGCCATATACTTCCAAAAATAAACACTTTGAAATAAAAATGGGGGATAAAATGGCAAAAAGGCAAACAAACCAAGGATGTGGCTGATGATGACCTTATGACAAACTATGGGTTCTTAATCTTGGACTCCTGCTCTCCTCTCCAAGCCACACGTTACTGTTTTCAGTAAGATTAGTAGTACATAGAAATAACCAAGAGTCCTCCAGTTGCTATTTCCCCACCCCTAGAGACAAGGATTTCTTATCTTGGCATGAAAACATATCACAGAATCATAGAATCAACCAGGTTGGGAAAGACCTCAAAGATCATCAAGTCCAACCCTCCCGTGGTCACTAGCCCATGGCACTAAGTGCCACATCCAGTCTCAGCTTGAAAACCTCCAGGGATGGGGAATCCACCACCTCCCTGGGCAGCACATTCCAATGCCTGAGCACTCTCTCTGCAAAAAATCTCTTCCTAAGATCCAACCTAACCCTCCCCTGGCAGAGCTTGAGTCTGTGCCCTCTTGTCCTGCTGCTGGTTGCCTGGGAGAAGAGACCAACCCCCACCTGACTCCAACCTCCTGGCAGGGAGTTGCAGAGGGTGAGAAGGTCTCCCCTGAGCCTCCTCTTCTCCAGGCTGAACCCCCCCAGCTCCCTCAGCCTCTCCTCATGCCACTTGTGCTCCAGTCCCTTCCCCAGCCTCGTTGCTCTGCTCTGGACCTGCTCCAGCCCCTCAATGTTCCTCCTGAGCTGAGGGGCCCAGAACTGAGCACAGTATCTATTTATTTTCAGCTGATGTCTGAAAAGTTCCATGGACTTCATGTCTGGGGCCATAAAATAGACTAGTCCTGGAGCTAAACTGTGTAATGTAATATCTGCCTTGAAAGAGGCAAGACAGGTAGATAACCCACCAGGAATGGATGATCAAACAAAAGAATCCATGCAATGGTCACCCTTTGGATTCCTCTTTGGTTTCCCACTTAGAGACCAATGTAAGGTTTCTTATGTACAAACCAAAGACCTCATCAGGCAAAGAAGACATTTGGACATTTCCTCTGATCCTACTGGTTCTAAACCACACAATTATTTACTAACCAATGATTTTCTTCTTTAATTTTTCTTCAAATATACAAAAATCTCTAACAATCACATAAATATGATTAGACCAAAAGCATCTTTTCAGCTCTGCTGTCCATCTGTACCTTTGATGGAGGTGACTGATCTCCTCATCCTTACGGTTGATTTCCACTCTTGCTGTTTTGATAAGGGCTGAAATGTTCTTTTTGAGAGCTTGGTTTTCATTGTGTAGAATGATATTCTGTTTTAAACATACACACAAAGCAGACAGTGAGAGAGAGAGGAAAAAAAAAGTAAGAATTAGCTTGGGTATCCAAACAGGTAATGAAAACCACTACAAAAAATGTCCCATCACTTGCAAACCAACAGATGAACACATAGACATTGTTTTGGAGAAGTTGGAATTACTGAGATCCAAGAAGCTGTTGGGTTTTTTTTAACATCACTCACATTTATGTTCATGTTTGTGTTCCTGGTAATTAAAATGCTTTAAGCATGCACTTTAATAAAACCAAAATATGGCATAACCCATAGAGCTAAACATGGATAATTCACCCCTTTGCTTCATTCTTTCACTCAATTTGCTGCTTTCTTGGTCACTGTGTCACATGAAAGATGTAACTTTTAAGCATTTGCAGAGAAAAAGATAACTGTATTTCTTTTAAGGAACCAAAACCAACTTAAGGTGTTCTCTCATCCTAACATTCCTAGTCCTGTAACCCTAACTGTCAGTCCTAGAGAGATTCCCTTCTCTTAATAACTGTCCTCACCAAAGCCTTCCCAGAAAGGCAGACAAGTTCTGCAGAAGACAATACAGAATGGGCAGCAGCTGCTCACCATGGCAAAGCACAGAACTTTGGGGCTTATCTGTAACACACACCAGAGCACATTGCAGAACTGCCCCAAAGAACTTCACTCTACTGAATGGCTCAGCACAGGAACAACAGCTCCAAGCTGAAGAGCTGTGTCTTAGGTCTTTCTTATTATGTCTTAAGACTTCCAGCTTTGTGGTGAGACACTGTCCCAGGGTGCCCAGGGAGGCTGTGGCTGCCCCAACCCTGGCAGTGTTCACAGCCAGGTTGGCTGAGCCTTGAGCAACCTGCTCTGGTGGGAGGTGTCCCTGCCCAGGGCAGGGGTTGGAGCTGGGTCAGCACTGAGCTCCATTCCAACGCCTAAAACTCCATAATTCTATGAAACAAGTGAATCTACCTAGTGATTTTGTCAGGAGGCTATTCCAGCAACAATCCCAGGCAGACCAAGCCCCTAGAACCGACAGAAGAGCTTTACAAACCATCCACACAGTGTATCACGTCTGCAAAGCGGAGGAAATTGGTTTCTCCAGCCAATGTTCAATCTGCTTTACACAAACCTTAACAATGTTGCTTTGTACTACAGTACCTGTGCCTGTATTTCTTTAAATTTCTTCAACAACACTCTAATTTGCAGCTGACATTTTCCATATTCTGCCTGCAACTGTCAAAGAAAGAAGAATATTCACAGCACAGGAATTAATTATACAGAAAAGATACTTCTTTAGGTTTATACTTAAGTCAACACAGCAGTGAACATTACAAAGCTGTTTTTATCCCAAAAGTAACATATTTACAGCAGAGTGACAGGGTAAGGTTGGACTTGATGATCTTAGAGGTCTCCTCCAACCTTGATGATTCTATGACTCTAAAATGTTTCTTATGGGCCAGTTTAGGTGATGCTGTATCAGTTAGTGTTCCACTGATTTGCTGGAAGCAGTTCCCACCTCCACGGCTGTTTTCAGTCTCCAGGACAAAATTTAACACCACAGAAGATTAATCCATGACTCTTCTGCTTTACTCTGGCAAAATTTGTTGGGAGATATGTGAAGACTAGCTTAATATGGTATGTCTGAAGAGATCTGAAGAGATCACTAGAAAGAAATTATGGCACATTTCCCCATAGCATAGCTGATATGTGAGCTGGATGAGAAGGGAGCTAGATGAGAACAGACCATAGAATCATAAAGTCAAGGTTGAAGGAGAACTCTAAGATCAAGTCCAACCATGAATCTGTCCCTGCTAGAACCCCCAAACCCCAAACCAGATCCTCCAGTGCCACATCAGACACCTCTGAAACACCTCCAGGGATGGTGACTGCACCACCTCCCTGGGCAATATCCCAGGGCCTCAACACCACAACAGGCAAAACATTTCTCCTCACACCCAATCTGACTCTGCCCTGGCTCAGCTCAAGGCCATTCCCTCTCTCCTCTCCCTCAGCCCTGGCAGGACACACATCCCACACCTCTCTCCAGCCCTGGCAGGAGTTGCAGAGAGCCAGGAGGTCACCCCTGAGCCTCTTCTCCAGGCTGACCAACCCAACTCCCTCAGCCCTTGCCCATGTGCTCTGCCCTTTGCTGCCCTCGTTGCCCTTGGCTGGACTCGCTCAGTGCCTCAATGGCCTTTGGGCAGTGAGTGCCCAAAGCTGAGCACAGCACTGAGCTGGGACCTCCCCAGTGCCCAGTGCAGGGGGATGACACTGCCCTAGTGCTGCTGCGACAGTGTGTCAGGTTCACTTATTCTGATGAATTTGTTGGTCCCAAAGGGCCTTGGCAGTGCTGGTGGCACAGCTCAGTGGGAGCCAACAGTGCGCACAGGTGGCCAAGGAGGCCAAGGGCATCATGGCCTGGATCAAGACTAGTGTGGCCAGCATTGGTAGAGTCACCATCCCTGGAGGTGTTTCAGAGGTGTCTGATGTGGCACTGGAGGATCTGGGTTAGGGTTTGGGGGGTCCAGCAGTGACAGGTTCATGGTTGGACTCGATGATATTAGGGGGTCTCCTCCAGCCTTGATGGTTCTATGATTTTCACTTGTTCACTTAATGGTTTATTAGCACACTCTTGTTTTTACTTATCTAAAACCAGTTTGCCTATCCCTCCAATAACATGACATTCCACACTTTGCATGAAAAAGTTTGGAACAAAAATTCCCCAAAACACCAGAATTAGTTTCCACATTAATACACACCTCGTCGTAGGATGCCTTCCTTGCAGCCCCTTCTTCAATTAATAACTCATCAAATAAATTTAAGCTGCTCCTAGATGGTGTAGAATTTGGAGCAGAATTGTCTGTATAAAGAAAAAACAATTACACAAGGAAGATTAAGGGACGCTGGAGAAAGGACTCTGTGTTAGGAGCTTCAGTGATAGGAAAAGGAGTAATAGGTTCAAATTGAAGGAAGGGAAAGTTAGGCTAGATACTACGATAAAGTTTTTCCCTGTTGTGGTGGTGAGACCCTGTCCCAGGTTGCCCAGAGAGGCTGTGGCTGCCCCAACCCTGGCAGTGTTCACAGCCAGGTTGGATGAGCCTTGAGCAACCTGCTCTGCTGGGAGGTGTCCCTGCCCAGGGCAGGGCTTGGGGCTGGGTGAGCTCTAAGCTCCATCCCAACCCCTAAAATTCGATGATAATCATTCTGTCAATACATTTAAGAATACTCTGATGCATTTCCACAGCACAACATACATGTTTTGCATTCAAACAAGTACCTCACTCAAGTATAGGTTACACCAGCTAAATGTAAAGCTAATGTAGTTAACATCAGCCTAAGGAGCAGAGAGACTCTATAATGCTCCAAGCCAAGCAGCAAGACACAATCAACCTACCAGGAGCTGACACACTGTTGTCCAAGTCATCATAGATATCCACTGAGCTCTCATCACCTTCCTTGAAAGAGGAAGCTTCAGCTAAACCAATGACAAACAGAAAAGGCCAAAATGTAATCATTTAGGAGACTCCAACCTCTAGGCTTCCCATAAAGTAAGTGTAGCTGTTATTCTTGATCAGTAGAGAGTGGTAAAATAACAGCAGAGAGTAGTAAAAGACAGGGGCATTGTATCCAGCAAGGTGCTGCTACTGTGGAGAGATCTTTAGTCATCAGGGAGCAAAGACAGCAAGATCAGTTCCTAAATACTACAGGAACTGTGCACAAAGCAAATTCTGTGGCTTTAGGTCCAAATCAATTTTACAACTAGAAATGAAGTCAACTGGATCTAAATTTGAAACTGAATGTAAAAGTGAAACAACTGAAAAACAAACCTGAAAGAATGAGTATGATAAAACCACTACTTTCTTGCTGAAAGGGAAATATTTTAGCAGCCTCTTATAACAGGTCTTCTCCAACCTCTGTGATTCTATGACCAGTTCCAGGCACTCCCACAAAACATTCCAGAAAACAAAGTACACCGTTATGGCTTTAAATACAAACTTACTCATGGGAAATGGCTTAGTACAAAACTGTGCCACAGCCATTTAATTCCAGCTGAAGCTCATCAGCATTTGTCCCAACTTCAATTGCTTCCATTTCATTTTCGAATTTACTTTTGGAGGTATTTATTTTCTCAAATTTTTTTTGTGCTAATTAACTGCAAACCAGAAATCTAACACATCCCTGGAAGTGTTTAAGGTGCCTGGATCTGGCAGTGGAGGATCTGGTTTAGGGTTTAAGGGTTCCAGTAGTGACAGGTTAATGGTTGGACTCGATCTTAGAGGTCTCCTCCAGCCCTGATGGCTCAGTGATTCTACATCTTACCACTGTATCTGATGTCAAACAGTCCCAGTTCACCCTCACCTGCTGCCATGATACAAACTCCCTACGGCTTCCCCATCTAGGATTAAAACAACAGAGCAAAAAGCACTGATTAGTTGACAATTCCAAAACAACAACATCAACCAGAAGCATCCTGAAACACACCAGTTACACCCGAGTTCTTGTGGTCCTTGTTCTTCCACAAAACCCAACACTAGGATGAGAAAAGTCTTAAAGTGAAATAACAAAATGAGTTTTCAAGAAGAGTAAGAAATTATCTGTTCTTTAAATCTTCAGCTGTAGCTCTAAGATATTATAAATTCTGATATGAACATGAGCACTGCATTCTATGAACGGGTTACCTGAATGTGCATTTTAAGCAGTTAAAACAATCTGATTTGATAATTTTGATTTCTTCTCTACTGACCATTCAAGAGCAACATTTCCTTGTCTGATACCACCGGTCAAACTGACAGCAACAGGCAGGAAACATTTTGCCTGCTAAGCCACATGGCCACAGGATGGTGCTCAATCAGTTACAGGACTCACAGCCTCCCCTACAACAGCTACCACTGAACAACTTTAGGAGGTCAGAGCTCTGGGGCACTGACACACTGCACCTCTGAGCCTGCAGCACCGAGGCACAAGTGCTGCCGGGGGGAGAAGAAAAGCTGGGAAGGGAGGGGGAA